ACCATGCCCTTTAACACACAAAGGTTTGCCACTACGCTTTTTAAAATCTTTTCAAACCAACCTTTGCGGGGCCTTTAAAATTTCCACTAAAATAACACTAGTTGCAGGCTTTTTTTTAAAATTAAATCGCCCATGCAATTTCCCCTACCCCTTTTCACAAAAGTTTCCTTGAGGGGACGAACTCCTGCTACTGTTTTTCATTTATCCACACCAAAAAAGGTCCCTCAACATTTTCCATCACTTGGGGATCTTTGTTTCAAAAACACATTTAAAAACCTTTTTGGCAACAAAAAGTTTCCCTTTGATTGCCGTTTTTTTTTTTTCCCCCCCCCAAATAGAACGATGGTTGTTTTTTGGGTTTTCCCTTTTTTTTTCCCCCCCCACCCCCCCCCCCTTAACCCAAGGTCGGGATACGTACCCCCCACTTTCATATTTTTCAATGATCCTTTTCTTCTTTAAAAGGGGTATTCTTCCCCTTTTTGAGGTTGGGGTTTGGGGCACTAGAAGCTTTCTTGGGGGCCCATGGTAAATTATTTTCCCCAAACAGCACCGAAACACTGTAATAATACGAAATTTTCCCCAGAATGCTTGAATGTTACCGCGGAGGTGGCGGTAAAAAAATGGGACGGGCGGCACATGTGAGGCGGCGAGGGCGCCACATTGGGCGGGGTCTCGGCGAAGGTCGCCCCGAGCGGGTTTTTGTCCACTTATGCGGGGCAAAATTTTTGCGAACCCAAAACGTTTTCCCTTGGCCCGGAAATTTTTCGCTATGAAGGCTTCGCCCATCGGGGGTCCCTGTATATATTAAAAAATATTTGGTTGTAAAGGGTTTGGGAGACAGCACCCACCCCGGGAGGTCCCACCCCCCTCCCAAATGAGTGTCAAAAGAAAGCCTGTGATTTTTTTACATGGGTGGTAGGGGTTGCTGTTTTCTTTTGTCTGTCTCATAAATATGCAAGATTACGGCATGTCTTCAAATTCTACTTACACCCTTTGGTCAACACAAAAACAAAAAAGTAAAACATTTATTTATAAACCCTCATCGGTTTTTCCCTTTGATTTTTTCTTAATATTCTTGGTTTTATTAATTTTCCTTTTTTATCCCCTGGGGAAGTGGAATAAGAATTTTTTTCCTCCGTAAACCATGCGTGTTGTAAAAAGGGCAACTAAAAAAGCCGGGAACAATGGGCAAATAAAAACCCCTTTTCCTGTAAAGAATTTCTAAAAGAAAAAGAAAAAAGAAAAATTTTCAAAGTGGGAAGTCTGAATGTTTTCGTGGATGTTGTGCAGTGTTTAAAAAAGAGATGATTGTGGATGTTATGAAAGGGGAAAAAAATGGATGTCCTGGCTTTTAAATGAAACAAAACTGAAAGGGGGGGGGAGAGTTTTTAGTGGAGAAAGGGAATTTAAAAAGGGGTTAGGGTTTAAAGGGGTTTTAAATAGAGTTGAGGTAAAAAAAGGGGTAGCAATAATATTTAAGGAAAAAGCTTGGAAAGGGAAAAAGGGGCCCAAAAATTAAAAAATTCAAGGTTATTGGATAAAATAAAGATTTTGGGTGTGAAAAGTGGGTTTAAATAAGCGTGTATTTTCCCGGGAAAAGAGAAGGTAGAGGGGAGAGAGGATTTTGGGAAAAGTTTTAGGAAAGCGTGGGGAGTTTTTTAATCAAGGGGTGAGAGTAAAAGGTGGTTGGGGGGGTTTCAATGCAAAAGTTTGGGGGAAAAAAAGTTTGGGGGGGTATAGGTAAATTTTTGGGGGGCCCGGGGGAAATGTAAAAGGGGGCCTTTAAAAAGGCCCATGTGTTGAAAGACCTTTGGGAATAAAAATAAAATATTTATTATGGGAAAAAGGATTAAATTAATTTTTCCCCGGTATGAAGTGCCCTAATGAAATTGTTTATTAGATTTGGAAATTTGGGGGATAAAAGGGTTTTGGGTTCCAGGAAAGTACCCTGTTTTTAAGAGGGGCCAAAAAATATATTTAACATTATTTGTTTTACTCCAGTTAGAGAAAAAAGGTAGAGGGGAAAAAAGGAGGGGCAACCCCCCAAAAATAAAGGGAGGTGACGTGTATTTAAAATAAGGGAGGAGGAAGTTTCGGGTGAGATATAAGCGACTTTGGCAGAAAGGGGGCTTTGTGCAAAGAGAGTAGGGGGGGGGGTTTAAAAGGGTTGGAATGGGTTTTTTTAAAAAAAGCCCGTATTGAAAAATGGGGGGGAGTTTGTGGTTATAGGAGGGTGGGGGGGGGGAAAGGAGGGGTGATTTGGGGGAATATAAAAAAAGGGGGTGTAAAAGAGAAAAAAGGGAGCTTATGAGAGGTTTTTTTCCAAAGCAAAAAGTGTTTAAAAAGAGCCGAGTTTATGGAGAGTAAAGGGGAAAAGGTTTAAAAAAGAGTGGTGAGAGAGGCAAAAAAGGGGAGCAGATGATAGAGTGGGGGGCCCCTGTCAAGAAATTTTAATGAAAAAAAAAAAAATTTGAAGTGGTTTAAACCCAAATTAAGAAAGCCCGGGGAAAATATGGTTTTTTTCCCTTAAAAAAAAAAGTGGGGGGGTTTGTGTGGGGGGAGGGGGGTTTGGGTTTTTTGGCGAGAAAAATTTTGGGAACTTTTTAAAAGTTTTGGAAGAAAAAAGAGGCAGTAATTTTATGCCTGGGGCAGGGAGGTATACCATCTTTTTGGGGTGGGAAGGGAAAACCCGGGAAAATTTAAATGTGGGGGAGGGACGTGAGGGTTTTGTAAAATGAAAGGGGGGAAAACAAACTGGAATGAAAGGGAAACATGACAGAATGTTAAAGCAGGGGGGGATAAAGTGTGGAGTGGTTGTACTTTTGTTCAATAAAATGAAAGAAAAAGGGGAAGGTTTCCTAGGGAGTTGGGGGAGAGCATGTATAGTCCCTTTTTATAAAAAGGGGGAAAGGGGGCAAAAAAAGACCCGTAAAAAATTTTTGAGGAAAAAGGGTTTCTGAGTTTTAAAAGGAAAAGTGTAAAAGTAGGGGTTTTAATTGGAAAAAATTAGAAAATAAACCGAAAAGAAAGGGTTGCCCGGGTGAGCAAAGGGGGTTTCAGAAATGGGTTGGGGTGTGTTGATTTGGGGTTTTTCATTGAAACCTTAAATTTAACATTTTTTAGATAAAAATAGGGAAGTTTTTATTGCATTTAAGGGTTTAGAAAGGCAAATGATAGGTGGAAGAGGGGCCAAAGTGGCAAAAGTTGCAAGTATAGGGAAAAGGTGGTAAGTTTTTAAAAAGCGTAAAGAGTTTTTTGAGGATAGTTTTGGGGTTGGTTTTGGGTTGGGTAGAAGAGAGGGAACTACTTCCCCGGGAAAAGTAGGTCTTAGACAGGGATTTTGAATGTCACCATGGTTGTTTAAAATTTTATAGGGTGGGGTTTTTAAAAGGGAAAAAAAGCTAGGGTGTTGGGAAAAGGGGTTTGGGGTTAAATTTTGGGGAATTTAAAAATTTAAAAAGGAATTGACACAGTTACTTTTTTCTGATGATCTGGGGCTTAAAAGGGGGATTCAAAAAAAAAATTGCAAAGGTTTTGTGGATTAAATTTGGGGAATTTTGTTTTTTAAAGGTAGAAAGTTGAAAGTGAACCCTGAAAAAAGTAAGGTGATGGGGTGTCAAATGATTTAGATAAAAAAAAAATTGGAACAAAATTGGGGGGGAGGAGAAGGAAGAATTTATGTTTTCAGATAAATTGGGAAATTTGAAGGTCGGCGGATGGATTTATGAAGGTGAGGTTAATATAGAATTTATGAGGGAAAAAAAAGGGGTGGTGCATTGGGGGTTTTTGTGGGGTCAAAAACCTTATCTTTTGGGGGGCAAAGAAGGAATTTATGAAAAAATAGTAGTACCAACCCTCTTTTATTTGGGGGGGGAAGCTTGGGGGGGTAAATGCAGCAGCGAGGGGAAAAGGTTGGGGGCAGTGGAGAAAGTCCCCGTTTAAGGGGAATGTTGGGTAAAAAATGGGAGAAAAATTTGGTGTTTTTGGGAAATTTGGGAAGGTGTTTGGGTTTTAAAAAAGTATTTGCCAGGGCAGAAGAGGGTTGTTGAGGGGGTTTGGGGCATTTTTGAGAGAATGGTCAAAGTTTAAAAAAAAAAATGGGAAAGGGATATAAAACTATAGGGGGGGAAAAGGGGGGGTAGGGGTCGTCCCCCGAAAAGGGTTTTTGGGAAAAGGGGGTAAAGGAGGTTTTGGGGGGCAAGGGGCCTTTAAACCCCGCAAGCGTGGGTGCGGTTTGAAGGAGTGGGGAAAGGAGGGCGAATGGTACTTGGGACCGACGATCTGTTTGGGGTGTGAGCAGGGTAAAATTTTTTGTGAAGGGAATTTAGGGAAAAAAAGGTTTTTTCCCTATAAAATCAATTTAGGGCCTGGAAAAAGGGGAAAACAATTTCCTGCCCCCTTTTAAAAAGGGGGGGTTTTGGGAAAATTTGGCCCGTTTGGGGGGATAGGGGTTTTTCTTTTATTGGTAAGGGTTTAACGTTGATTCTTTAGCACCTCGCAAAAACCGTGAAAAAGGGGCGGTGTGGTGAAAGTTGGTTTTAATGTTTAGAAAGTTTTTTTCTTTTTGGGGGTTTTTTTTCTTTTTTGGGACAACCCCGCCCGGGGGGAGACGGGGCCATTGTTGAAAAAAAAAAAAAAATATGTATATATATATATAAAATGTATATTTTGTTTTAAATAAATATAATTTATATATTATATATAAATAAAATAAATCATATATGTAATATATTATATATGTAATATATATGGGTTTATGTATATTATATGTCTATAATATTTTGTATTTTTTAATATGTATAAATTTTATAAGTATTTTTATATATTATATTAAAATATATATTATTATATATATATATATATATATATATATAATATATTATATTATTGTATATATTATATATATAAAAAATGTGTGTGTCTTTTTTTAATTTTCAGAGTTATGAAATTTTCCAAAAGCTGCAATTACCCAAAACAGGGATCATCAGTTTGGGGGGGTGGGTGCCAAAAAATTTTACGGGACGTGCCTTTTTCTGGTAGGTGCCACCATTGCCAGTCTTTGAGGATGAATTTTTTTGTATATAAGAGGTACTGTGGCTCACTTTGTAGGCTATTTAACTCTAAAGCTATTAATCACTGCTCAGCAGTAATGCAGTGACTTTTTTTTCAACTGCGTAGGTCTGTTGAGGTGTTGCAAAAAAAAAAATAAAGAATAAAACGTCTGATCACAAAGGAGGTAGCTAAATCCCCACTGGCAAAAATTTAAGGATTAAGAATAATTTTATTTTGTTTAGTTTACTGAATGACACACACCATTTTTCCACTTATTTTTAATGTAGTATGATAATAGAGTAATTTTATTTAGTAAAGTCTGGTTCTGTTGACTACCAAGTGAACATGTGCAGCAAATAGTAGCCTTACCCATCCCATCCAGGAATCAGACCCAGGTTCTTTAGGTTGTGAGCCAAGTATCCTACCACAGGGCACAGCACTATATGACCCTTGTGGGTTCAGCACTTAGTTATGATAACGATAATAATCTACCACAGGGTTCATAGACAGCAACCATCCAGGGAGGTACTACCGTCCTACCAAGTGAGTGTAAAACGGAAACCTGTAATTGTTTTACATGATGGTAGGATTGCTGGTGTCTTTTTCTGTCTCATAAATATGCAAGATTTCAGGTATGTCTTGCTACTTCAGCTTACACTTAGGTCACACCTGCACATACATGTACATGTTTATTTATACACACTCATCTGAGTTTTCTTTGATTTTATCTTAATAGTTCTTGGTCTTATTACTTTTCCATTTATATCCATGGGGAAGTGGAATAAGAATCTTTCATCCGTAAGCCATGCGTGTTCTAAGAGTCAACTAAAATGCCAGGAACAATGGGCTAGTAACCCCTTTTCCTGTAATAATTACTAAAAAGAATAAGAAGAAGAAAATTGTCAAAGTGGGAAGTCTGAATGTGTGTGGATGTTGTGCAAATGATAAGAAAGAGATGATTGTGAATGTTATGAATGAGAAGAAGCTGGATGTCCTGGCTTTAATTAAGTGAAACAAAGCTGAAGGGGGTAGGAGAGTTTCAGTGGAGAGGAATAAATACGATTAGGTCAGGGGTTTCAAATAGAGTTAGAGCTAAAGAAGGAGTAGCAATAATGTTGAAGGATAAGTTATGGCAGGAAAAGAGGGACTATAAATGTATTAATTCAAGGATTATGTGGAGTAAAATAAAGCTTAGATATGAAAAGTGGGTTATAGTAAGTGTATATGCACCTGGAGAAGAGAGAAGTGTAGAGGATATAGAGAGATTTTGGGAAATGTTGGGTGAATGCGTGGGGAGTTTTGAACCAAGTGTGAGAGTAATGGTGGTTGGGGATTTCAATGCTAAAGTGGGAAAAAAATGTTGTGAAGGGAGTAGTAGGTAAATTTGGGGTGCCAGGGGTAAATGAAAATGGGGAGCCTTTAATTGAGCTATGTGTAGAAAGAGGTTTAGTAATAAGTAATACATATTTTATGAAGAAGAGGGTAAATAAATATACAGTGGAACCTCTACTTGCGAATTTAATCTGTTCCATGACCTTGCTCGCAACTGGATTTGCTCGTTTGCAAAATCAATTTTCCTCATTTAAATTAATTGAAATGCAATTAATCTGTTACAGTGGAATTCTGTACTTCAATAATTTTGCTAATATCACCTCTAATATCATCTAATATGACATAATAAACAATATAAATAACATAGAAACCTGATTTATTATTTATTTATTATCACACTGGCCGATTCCCACCAAGGCAGGGTGGCCCGAAAAAGAAAAACTTTCACCATCATTCACTCCATCACTGTCTTGCCAGAAGGGTCCTTTACACTACAGTTTTTAAACTGCAACATTAACACCCCTCCTTCAGAGTGCAGGCACTGTACTTCCCATCTCCAGGACTCAAGTCTGGCCTGCCGGTTTCCCTGAACCCCTTCATAAATGTTACTTTGCTCACACTCCAACAGCACGTCAAGTATTAAAAACCATTTGTCTCTATTCACTTCTATCAAACACGCTCACGCATGCCAGCTGGAAGTCCAAGCCCCTCGCACACAAAACCTCCTTTACCCCCTCCCTCCAACCTTTCCTAGGCCGACCCCTACCCCGCCTTCCTTCCACTACAGACTGATACACTCTTGAAGTCATTCTGTTTCGCTCCATTCTCTCCACATGTCTGAACCACCTCAACAACCCTTCCTCAGCCCTCTGGACAACAGTTTTGGTAATCGCGCACCTCCTCCTTACTTCCAAACTACGAATTCTCTGCATTATATTCACACCACACATTGCTCTCAGACATGACATCTCCACTGCCTCCAGCCTTCTCCTCGCTGCAACATTCATCACCCATGCTTCACACCCATATAAGAGCGTTGGTAAAACTATACTCTCATACATTCCCCTCTTGCCTCCAAGGACAAAGTTCTTTTGTCTCCACAGACTCCTAAGTGCACCACTCACCCTTTTCCCCTCATCAATTCTATGATTCACCTCATCTTTCATAGACCCATCTGCTGACATGTCCACTCCCAAATATCTGAATACATTCACCTTCTCCATACTCTCTCCCTCCAATCTGATATCCAATCTTTCATCACCTAATCTTTTTGTTATCCTCATAACCTTACTCTTTCCTGTATTCACTTTCAATTTTCTTCTTTTGCACACCCTACCAAATTCATCCACCAATCTCTGCAACTTCTCTTCAGAATCTCCCAAGAGCACAGTGTCATCAGCAAAGAGCAACTGTGACAACTCCCACTTTATGTGTGATTCTGTATCTTTTAACTCCACGCCTCTTGCCAAGACTCTCGCATTTACTTCTCTTACAACCCCATCTATAAATATATTAAACATCCACGGTGACATCACACATCCTTGTCTAAGGGCCTACTTTTACTGGGAAATAATTTCCCTCTTCCTACATACTCTAACTTGAGCCTCACTATCCTCGTAAAAACTCTTCACTGCTTTCAGTAACCTACCTCCTACACCATACACCTGCAACATCTGCCACATTGCCCCCCTATCCACCCTGTCATACGCCTTTTCCAAATCCATAAATGCCACAAAGACCTCTTTAGCCTTATCTAAATACTGTTCACTTATATGTTTCACTGTAAACACCTGGTCCACACACCCCCTACCTTTCCTAAAGCCTCCTTGTTCATCTGCTATTCTATTCTCCGTCCTACTCTTAATTCTTTCAATAATAACTCTACCATACACTTTGCCAGGTATACTCAACAGACTTATCCCCCTATAATTTTTGCACTCTCTTTTATCCCCTTTGCCTTTATACAAAGGAACTATGCATGCTCTCTGCCAATCCCTAGGTACCTTACCCTCTTCCATACATTTATTAAATAATTGCACCAACCACTCCAAAACTATATCCCCACCTGCTTTTAACATTTCTATCTTTATCCCATCAATCCCGGCTGCCTTACCCCCTTTCATTTTACCTACTGCCTCACGAACTTCCCCCACACTCACAACTGGCTCTTCCCACTCCTACAAGATGTTGTTCCTCCTTGCCCTATACACGAAATCACAGCTTCCCTATCTTCATCAACATTTAACAGTTCCTCAAAATATTCCCTCCATCTTCCCAATACCTCTAACTCTCCATTTAATAACTCTCCTCTCCTATTTTTAACTGACAAATCCATTTGTTCTCTAGGCTTTCTTAACTTGTTAATCTCACTCCAAAACTTTTTCTTATTTTCAACAAAATTTGTTGATAACATCTCACTCACTCTCTCATTTGCTCTCTTTTTACATTGCTTCACCACTCTCTTAACCTCTCTCTTTTTCTCCATATACTCTTCTCTCCTTGCATCACTTCTACTTTGTAAAAACTTCTCATATGCTAACTTTCTCTCCCTTACTACTCTCTTCACATCATCATTCCACCAATCGCTCCTCTTCCTCCCGCACCCACTTTCCTGTAACCACAAACTTCTGCTGAACACTCTAACACTACATTTTTAAACCTACCCCATACCTCTTCGACCCCATTGCCTATGCTCTCATTAGCCCATCTATCCTCCAATAGCTGTTTATATCTTACCCTAACTGCCTCCTCTTTTAGTTTATAAACCTTCACCTCTCTCTTCCCTGATGCTTCTATTCTCCTTGTATCCCATCTACCTTTTACTCTCAGTGTAGCTACAACTAGAAAGTGATCTGATGTATCTGTGGCCCCTCTATAAACATGTACATCCTGAAGTCTACTCAACAGTCTTTTATCTACCAATACATAATCCAACAAACTACTGTCATTTTGCCCTACATCATATCTTGTATAGTTATTTATCCTCTTTTTCTTAAAATATGTATTACCTTTAACTAAACCCCTTTCTATACAAAGTTCAATCAAAGGGCTCCCATTATCATTTACACCTGGCACCCCAAACTTACCTACCACACCCTCTCTAAAAGTTTCTCCTACTTTAGCATTCAGGTCCCCTACCACAATTACTCTCTCACTTGGTTCAAAGGCTCCTATACATTCACTTAACATCTCCCAAAATCTCTCTCTCTCCTCTGCATTCCTCTCTTCTCCAGGTGCATACACGCTTATTATGACCCACTTCTCGCATCCAACCTTTACTTTAATCCACATAATTCTTGCATTTACACATTAATATTCTCTTTTCTCCTTCCATAACTGATCATTCAACATTACTGCTACCCCTTCCTTTGCTCTAACTCTCTCAGATACTCCAGATTTAATCCCATTTATTTCCCCCCACCGAAAATCCCCTACCCCCTTCAGCTTTGTTTCGCTTAGGACCTGATATATACTCTAAAATGAATAAAGTATGTCATTCATGTAGTGGTATGGGTGGTGTCGGCGGTGGACAAGAGTTGGAGACCAGGCAAAATTCTTCATGAATAATTTTGCTAATGTCATCTATACTGCTTATTTATCTATCACAGTTCATCTAATATGACATAACAGACAATATAAATAACATAGAAACACGATATATACTCTAGAATGAATAAAATATGTCATTACATAACAGGTGGAGGCGGCCACACAGCCATCTAGTGACGGCCCTTTGAAGCTGTCTATTATTATAATTATTATATGTAGTACATTATTATTATATGTGTATTATTATTATTATTTATTTTTTTTTCAACAAGTCGGCCGTCTCCCACCGAGGCAGGGTGACCCAAAAAAAAAAAAGAAAGAAAATCCCCAAAAAGAAAATACTTTCATCATCATTCAACACTTTCACCACACTCACACATTATCACTGTTTTTGCAGAGGTGCTCAGAATACAACAGTTTAGAAGCATATACGTATAAAGATACACAACATATCCCTCCAAACTGCCAATATCCCAAACCCCTCCTTTAAAGTGCAGGCATTGTACTTCCCGTTTCCAGGACTCAAGTCCGACTATATGAAAATAAAATAAAATATTATTATACATATTATTATTATTATTATTATTATTGTATTATACTATTATTATTATTATTATTATTATTATTATTATACGTATTGTTATTATTCATATTATTATTATACATATTATTATTATTATCGTTATTATTATTATTATTATTATTATTATTATTATTATTATTATATAAATTATTTGTAATTTTTATTCGCACAAAAATATAAGATTTACTGTTATTCCTTACTGCAATAATTGTATAAATATGTCAACCCATTCACGACTGCATATTGGAATGGACAGTGACGTCATTTGTTTACACTGAAACAGCCAAGCAATGGACCATTTCTCCTAGGTTGAGCTCAATTTCAAGGCACTTTTCGTCATGAAAGCAGTCAAAATCATATCTATTTCTGTAATAGTATATCTTCCATTCTATCAAATGAGACCAAAAAAACGAGAATACAACCATAAAAACCATACGAAAATACCACTAAGGGGTGGCTAATTGTTGAGAAGTGAGCTCCATTATTTATACTTAGATTTCTTTCATTATTATTATTATTATTATTATTATTATTATTATTATTATTATTATTATTATTATTATTATTATTATCATCATTATTATTATATAAATAACTAGTAATTTTTCATATCTATTTCTGTAATTTATCTTCCATTCTATCAAATGAGACCAAAAAAACAAGTATACAACCATAAAAATCATTCAAAATTACCACTAAGGGGTGGCTAATTGCTGAGAAGTGAACTTCATTATTTATGCTTAGATTTCTTTCATTTTTGGTGTACATTATATCTTTCCATCATACATTGCCCAAGTTTCAATAACACAGTCCAACAAACAAATGAGATACAATTCCCGAGATCAAGAGCAAGAGCACCTCACCAGTGTCAAGGAATCTGCCTTGAGGTCTGCTCGCTTTTGGAAATTTTGCGCGCGTATGGAAGCAAAAAATCGACCCATCGACTGCTCGTATTTTGGAAAAACTCGCACGTGGACACAGTCGCAAGTAGAGGTTCCACTGTACAAGGTATGATATAGCACGCAATGAAAGTAGTTGGTTAGGTTATGTATTGGTGGATAAAAGGTTGATGGATAGGCTCCAGGATGTACACGTTTATAGAGGGGCAGCTGACATATCGGATCATTATTTAGTTGTAGCTACAGTTAGAGTAAGAGGTAGATGGGAAAAGAGGAAAATGGCAACAACAAGTAAGAGGGAGGTGAGAGTGTATAAACTAAGGGAGGAGGAAGTTCGGGTTAGATATAAGCAACTACTGGCAGAAAGGTGGACTGGTGCAAGTATGAGCAGTGGGAGGGTTGAAGAGGGTTGGAATAGCTTTAAAAATGCAGTATTAGAATGTGGGGCAGAAGTTTGTGGTTGTAGGAGGGTGGGTGCAGGAGGAAAGAGGAGTGATTAGTGGAATGATGAAGTAAAGGGTGTGATAAAAGAGAAAAAGTTAGCTTATGCGAGGTTTTTACAAAGCAGAAGTGTTATAAGAAGAGTGTAGAGTACACCTACCATCCGACTGACGTTCTGCTCGACTTACGACCACTCGACTTATGACCGTGTTTTTTATGCCAAATTTCTGGGAAATAAACAACTATTTGTGTTGTACACAGTGTTTATCCTAAACCTTACAGTATAAAATACAGTACTAACAGCATAAAAAGTAAAGTAAAACATGAAATACAAAAATAAAACAATAAAATAAAGTCATTACAAAAATGTTTTGTTGATATTCAGTAGTAAAGTTCGACTTACAACCATTTCGACTTAAGACTGGTTTCTCGGAACCGAATTCGGTCGTAAGTCGGATGGTAGGTGTATATGGAGAGTAAAAGAAAGGTGAAGAGAGCGGTGAGAGTGTGCAAAAGGAGAGCAGATGATAGAGTGGGAGAGGCACTGTCAAGAAATTTTAATGAAAATAAGAAAAACTTTTGGAGTGAGTTAAACAAGTTAAAAAAGCCTAGGGAACAAGTGGATTTGTCAGTTAAAAACAGAGTAGGGGAGTTAGTAGATGGGGAGACGGAGGTTTTGGGTAGATGGCGAGAATATTTTGAGGAACTTTTAAATGTCGAGTAAGAAGGGGAGGCAGTAATTTCATGCATTGGACAGGGAGGTATGCCATCTTTAAGGAGTGAAGAAGAACAGGATGTGAGTGTGGAGGAGGTGCGTGAGGCATTACGTAGAATGAAAGGGGGTAAAGCAGCGGGAACTGACGAGATCATGACAGAAATGTTAAAAGCAGGGGGGGGGGCGTATAGTGTTGGAGCGGTTGGTATTTTTGTTTAATAAATGTATGAAAGAGGGGAAGGTACCTAGAGATTGGCAGAGAGCATGTATAGTCCCTTTATATAAAGGGAAGGGGGACAAAAGAGATTGTAAAAATTATAGAGGAATAAGTTTACTGAGCTATAGGTAGTAGGTTGGTAGACAGCAACCACCCAGGGAGGTACTACCGTCCTGCCAAGTGAGTGTAAAATGGAAGCCTGTAATTGTTTTACATGATGGTAGGATTGCTGGTGTCCTTTTTTCTGTTTCATAAACATGCAAGATTTCAGGTATGTCTTGCTACTTCTACTTTTACTTAGGTCACACTACACATACATGTACAAACATATATATACACACCTGGAGTACCTGGAGAGAGTTTCGGGGGTCAACACCCCCGCGGCCCGGTCTGTGACCAGGCCTCCTAGTGGATCAGAGCCTGATCAACCAGGCTGTTGCTGTTGGCTGCACGCAAACCAATGTACGAGCCACAGCCCGGCTGGTCAGGAACCGACTTTAGGTGCTTGTCCAGTGCCAGCTTGAAGACTGCCAGGGGTCTGTTGGTAATCCCCTTTATGTATGCTGGGAGGCAGTTGAACAGTCTCGGGCCCCTGACACTTATTGTATGGACTCTTAACGTGCTAGTGACACCCCTGCTTTTCACTGGGGGGATGTTGCATCTGGGTTTTCTTATATTTTCTTTCTTGTTCTTGTTTATTTCTTCTTACCTCCATGGGGAAGTGGACCAGAATTCTTCCTCCGTAAGTCATGCGTGTTATAAGAGGCGACTAAAATGAAGGGAGCAAGGGGCTAGTAACCTCTTCTCCTGTATATATTACTAAATATAAAAGAAGAAACTTTCGTTTTTCTTTTTGGGCCACCCCGCCTCGGTGGGATACGGCCGGTGTGTTGAAAGAAGAAAAGAAGTTTACTGAGTATACCAGGAAAAGTGTACGGTAGGGTTATATGTAATTGAAAGAATTAGAGGTAAGACAGAATGTAGGATTGCGGATGAACAAGGAGGTTTTAGAGGGGGCAGGGGATGTGTAGATCAAGTGTTTACATTGAGGCATATATGTGAACAGTATTTAGATAAAGGCAGGGAAGTTTTTATTGCATTTATGGATTTAGAAAAGGCATATGATAGAGTGGATAGGGGAGCAATGTGGCAGATGTTGCAAGTGTATATGGAATAGGTGGTAAGTTACTAAATGCTGTAAAGAGTTTTTATGAGGATAGTGAGGCTCAGGTTAGGGTGTGTAGAAGAGAGGGAGACTACTTCCCGGTAAAAGTAGGTCTTAGACAGGGATGTGTGATGTCACCATGGTTGTTTAATATATTTATAGATGGGGTTGTAAAAGAGGTAAATGCTAGGGTGTTCAGGAGAGGGGTGGGATTAAATTATGGGGAATCAAATACAAAATGGGAATTGACACAGTTGCTTTTTGCTGATGATACTGTGCTTATGGGAGATTCTAAAGAAAAATTGCAAAGGTTACTGGACGAGTTTGGGAGTGTGTGTAAAGGTAGAAAGTTGAAAGTGAACATAGAAAAGAGAAAAATTGGATATCAAATTGGGGAGGAGGATTATGGAAGAAGTGAATGTTTTCAGATACTTGGGAGTTGACGTGTCGGTGGATGGATTTATGAAGGATGAGGTTAATCATAGAATTGATGAGGGGAAAAAAGGTGAGTGGTGCATTGAGGTATATGTGGAGACAAAAAACGTTATCTATGGAGGCAAAGAAGGGAATGCATGAAAGTATAGTAAGTAGTACCAACAGTCTTATATGGGTGTGAAGCTTGGGTTGTGAATGCAGCAGTGAGGAGGCAGTTGGAGGCAGTGGAGGTGTCCTGTCTAAGGGCAATGTGTGGTGTAAATATTATGCAGAAAATTTGGAGTATGGAAATTAGGAGAAGGTGTGGAGTTAATAAAGGTATTAGTCAGAGGGCTGAAGAGGGGTTGTTGAGGTGGTTTGGTCATTTAGAGAGAATGGATCAAAGTAGAATGACATGGAGAGCATTTAAATCTGTAGGGGAAGGAAGGCGGGGTAGGGGTCATCCTCGAAAAGGTTGGAAGGAAGGGGTAAGGGAAGTTTTGTGGGTGATCGGCTTGGACTTCCAGCAGGTGTGCGTGAGCGTGTTCGATAGGAGTGAATGGAGATGAATGGTATTTGGGACCTGACGATCTGTTGGAGCGTGAGCAGGGTAATATTTAGTGAAGGGATTCAGGGAAACCGGTTATTTTGATATAGCCGGACTTGAGTCCTGGAAATGGGAAGTACAATGCCTGCACTCTAAAGGAGGGGTTTGGGATATTGACAGTTTGGAGGGATATGTTGTGTATCTTTATACGTATATGCTTCTAAGCTGTTGTGTTCTGAGCACCTCTGCAAAAGCAGTGATTATGTGTGAGTGAGGTTAAAGAGTTGAGTGATGAAAGTATTTTCATTTTGGGGATTTTCTTTCTTTTTGGGTCACCCTGCCTCAGTGGGAGATGGCAAACTTGTTAAAAAAAATGTATATATATATATGTATATATATGTATATAAAGTTCCCCATGGGTAAGTTAAGAAAAATCCTTCCTCCATAAGCCATGCATGCCATAGGAGGTGACTAAATTGTCAGGAGCAAGGGTTAGTAACCCTATCTCCTGTATAAATTACTAAATGTGAAAAGAAGAAAAACCGTATGTAAACATTTTTTCTTTTTCGGGTCACCCTGCCTTAATGGGAGATGGCTAGTGTGTTAATAAAATACATTTTTTTTTTTTTTTCCAACAAGTCGGCCGTCTCCCACCGAGGCAGGGTGACCCAAAAAAAGAAAGAAAATCCCCAAAAAGAAAATACTTTCATCATCATTCAACACTTTCACCACACTCACACATTATCACTGCTTTTGCAGAGGTGCTCAGAATACAACAGTTCAGAAGCATATACGTATAAAGATACACAACATATCCCTCCAAACTGCCAATATCCCAAACCCCTCCTTTAAAGTGCAGGCATTGTACTTCCCATTTCCAGGACTCAAGTCCGACTATATGAAAATAACATTTATTTATGTGTTTATTTATTTATTACCATATTGCATTACAGATTAAAAGTAGTACCATATATGTGATCAGTTGTCATGGATAGACAAAATTTCACGTCAGAATAATATAAATAGGCTATCTAAATTTTTAATTGTCATGGATAATGTCAATAAGTGATCATTAATAATAACTAATGTAATGCAGAGATTTAGTAGGTTGGTAGACAGCATCCACCCAGGGAGGTACTACTGTCCTGCCAGGTGAGTGTTAAACAGAAACCTGTAACTGTTTTACATGATGGCACGATTGCTGGTGTCTCTCTTTTCTGTCTCATAAACACGCTGGATAACAGGTATATCTTTCTACTTCTACTTATGTCATACTACACAGGCATGCACATGCATATATATACATACACACATCTAGGTTTTTCTTCTTTTTCTTAACAGTTCTTGTTCTAATTTATTTCCTCTATTTTCCATGGGGAAGTGAAGAAGAGTCATTCCTCCATAAGCCATGCGTGCCATATAAGGCAACTAAAATGCCGGGAGCAGTGGGCTAGTAACCCCTTCTCCTGTAGAAAATACACTACTAAAAAAGAGAAGAAGAAAAACTTTATAGTACTGGCAGGCCAGACTTGAGGCCTGGAGATGGGAAGTACAGTGTCTGCACTCTGAAGGAGGGTTATTAATGTTGCCGTTTTATAACTTTAGTGTAAGCACGCCTCTGACAAGACAGTGATGGAGTGAATGATGATGAAGGTTTTTCTTAGGGCCACCTTGCCTTGGTGGGCGATGGCCGATGTGTTAATAAAAAAAATAATTTTTAACTAGTTTTTTCTTTAGTGTTATTTGATATCTGATATTTAGATAAATAAGAAATTTTGTCTTAGAACAGACATGCTTCTTATGTGTATAATTGTTTGTAACTGTGCAAATATTTATTCTATATGTATGTATTACAGTTATATATTGGTATTCGTATGAGAAGATGAAAAAAATTGCGAATCAGCGGCAGCCAACGACCAACTTCTCACTGTTTGCTGGGGCTGTTTCTGGAGGGGTGAGTTTTTTTTTTCCCCATGCTGGTGCAGTAGATGTTATCATTAGCAGTTCTTTTAGTAATGATTTAGGTACCATCTTTCAATGCTGTTACTTTTAAGAATACTTGCAGTTACTAATCCTAGAAACATATTCAAAGAAATTGTATGATGTGTCAATTTGGACACTTGGGGATTTTCAACATAACAAAGTAAAAAACTTTTGATGCATGAATAAAAAAAAAATCATTGGAATACTGTGCATGAATAAATTAGGTACTCAATAATGTCTGCAGTAACCCTCTTTCAAATTATATAGTATTGTATGTACAAGTATTTAAAGTAGATGTTAAACAAGTAAATGTAAAATCTTGCAACACAGGAATACAGATACAGGTATGCAGCCCTTCACATTGCTACAAACAAGACAATATTCTATAATACCTCACTAAAATAATCCAGTGTCTCCATCATTATTTATGTTCTTCTCTAAGCATCATGTTAAAATACTTATGGAACTTAGTTATGCATAATAACAATGCTCAGTTTCACATTAAGAAAACATTGTATCAGCATCCCTGGTCCTGGATTGTTCATCATGTTGCCAGAAGATATAAAAAATTTCTGGGATTAGTGAAGAGGCCTTCAAGAGAAAACTGGACAAGTATCTCCACCAAGTGCCAAATTAACCAGTACTTGTCTGGTTGACCAGGCAAGCACCAGACAAGCCTGGCCCAGGGCCAGGCTCTGGGAGTAGAAGACTCAAAACTCATCAGAGATGTATATAAATAATTTTTGAGATAAACAGTAAGTTTTGCATTCATAGAAACACTAGGCAGTTACAAGAAAATTGTTTTAATTTCAAAATTTTGAAGGCAATGAATCATTATTTGCTTTTTACCATTAGTGCTTATAAGGAAGAGTAGGACCACATGATTTACTACAATAAAACATTTTTTTTTCTTATTTCAGATTGCAGGAACGCTGACTCTCCCACTGGATGTAATCAAGACACACCGACAAATAGAAATTGGTGAGAAGGAACTTTTTTCAGGTTAGATTTACATACCATCTTTGGACAAAACTTCTTGTTACAAAGAAATAATGTTATGATACATTTTTAACTTGACATGTTCTTTCAGCCTAGGTAGTAGGTTGGTAGACAGCAACCGCCCAGGGAGGTACTACCGTCCTGCCAAGTGAGTGTAAAACGAAATCCTGTAATTGTTTTACATGATGGTAGGATTGCTGGTGTCCATTTTTTCTGTCTCATGAACATGCAAGATTTCAGGTACGTCTTGCTACTTCTACTTACACTTAGGTCACACTACACATACATGTACAAGCGTATATATACATACCCCTCTGGGTTTTCTTCTATTTTCTTTCTAGTTCTTGTTCTTGTTTATTTCCTCTTATCTCCATGGGGAAGTGGAACAGAATTCTTCCTCCGTAAGCCATGTGTGTTGTAAGAGGCGACTAAAATGCCGGGAGCAAGGGGCTAGTAACCCCTTCTCCTGTATATATTACTAAATTTGAAAGGAGAAACTTTCGTTTTTCCTTTTGGGCCACCCCGCTTCGGTGGGATATGGCCGGTGTGTTGAAAGAAAGATGATGTACTTTCAAATTGTTTACAGTTGCTGGGTATTTTATGTGTTGTTTTTAAATTAAATGAGATGAAATAAACAGGATGCAGAAACAATTATATATATATTTTTTTTTTCAACAAGTCTGCCGTCTCCCACCAAGGTATTAAATGTCCTTAAAAAGGAAAAGAAACCTTAGTAGAATTAACCCTTTCAGGGTCCAAGGCCCAAATCTGGAGTCACGCACCAGTGTCCAAGAATTTTCCAAAAAAAAAAATTGTTATTTTTTCTTATGAAATCGTAGAGAATCTTTTTGTGAAGGTAATAAAACAAAAAGTACGAAATTTGGTGGAAAATTGACGAAATTATGCTCTCGCGAATTTTGATGTGTCAGCGATATTTACGAATCGGCGATTTTGCCGACTTTGACTCCCATTTTAGGCCAATTACATTATTCCAATCAACCAAATTCTTAGCTATTTCACTAGTATTACTTCTATCGATTGAGCACAAGAAATCGCCAAGTCAACTGTTTCAACTACAAAATAAAGTGATCGGAAAAATTGTTAATTTGGCCAATTTAACACAAAGTTCAAAATATTCTAATTTCAAAATAGGGTCCAGAATGAACAATGTAGGCATTCCTGGCACTAAACTAACATTTCCTCTGTTCATTAGTTATGTTTGAGGCTTTACAAATAAATTCCATTTTGATTTTTTTATTCACATAATGAATTTTTATTCACACCAAAAAATAGAAGATTTACTGTTATGCAATACTGTAATAATTGTATAAATATCATCACCATATTTGTGAATGTATATTAGACCCACCAGCTGACGTGTATTAGACGTATGAGGTCGTTTGTTTACTCTTGAATATCGGCAAAAATTTAACATTTCTGCTACTTTGAGCTCAGTTTCAAGCCATTTCCAGTGCTAAAACCAATCAAAATCATCTCTATTTCTGTAATATGTCTTCCATTCTATCAAATGAGACCAAGAAATCGCAAATACAACTATAAAAAACATACGAAAAAACACTGCAAAGTTGCTGTTTTAATCGAAAAATCATGATTTCATTTTTTTTCTCTCATTATACACAGTGTGCTGCAGGATCTGTTTTATGTGGTGCACACATACCACATAGATGTATTCTCTCATATCTAGGCCCAAATGTACCACTCACAGTTTATCAGAGTGAGCTGAGCTCATGGCGTAGATCTACGGTTTGGACCCTGAACGTAAAGCCGTAGATCTACGGGACGGACCCTGAAAGGGTTAAAGATTGTATCAAGTATAATTCATAGGTGATTGGACAGTTGATATTTTCTAATGAATAATATATATTCTCAGTGTGTCTACATTAAGTTGGGGCATTACAAATTGCTGAGATAATACAGATAGTGATATTTCTCCATAGAAGCAGCCAGGAGCAGCAGCATGGTGCACCCACTAGGGAACTTGGATTTTTTGTTTTTGTTTTTAGGGGACTACTGTATAAATAAATATATGAACTGTTGGTATATTTAAAACTCCTTTTGCCCTTGTGCTTTCCTTCAACATTACTTCTCTTTTTACCTCTAATGTCAAATACTGCTTTGCCTTGTAGCACAGAATACTAACCTGTGAGAGTTTAACACTATCCATGATTATAATAATAATACTGTAATAACAATAATGCTGGTGAAATAAATAACAAGAAACATACACAATGAAAATATAACCCAATTAATGTTTCACTCCATCTTGGGTCATTGTCACATCACATCACTAATGAGTATACTATACAGCGATATCTTTTTAGAAATAAAGAAAAAATTATACATTTTATAGTACACTTTTTTTTTTTTTTTTAACAAGTTGGCTGTCTCCCACCGAGGCAGTACACATGTAAAGAAAAAATTATATGTTTCATAGTACACATGTAAAGAAAAAATTACACATTTCATAGTACACTAAGTGGCCATATACAGCATACTGTATATATGAGCTTCATAAAATATGAATCAGAAAATCTACAATACAAAATGCTATTGTTGTTATTTTAAAAATTTCACATTTCTTGAGCTATTTTTACCAATGTAAATATAAGCATCTTTCTTCTTCTCTCAAACCAGCCATATCCCACCAAGGCAGGGTGGCCCAAAAAAGAAAAATGAAATGTCGGAAGCAAGGGGTTACTAGCCCCTTGCTTCCGATATTTTAGTCGCCTCTTACAACATGCATGGCTTACAGAGGAAGAATTCTGTTCCACTTCCCAATGGAGATAAGAGGAAATAAACAAGAACAAGAACTAGAAAGAAAATAGAAGAAAACCCAGATGGCTGTGTATGTACTATATGCTTGTACATGAATGTGTAGTGTGACCTAAGTGTAAGTAGAAGTAGCAGGACATACTAGAAATCTTGCATCTTTATGAGACAGAAAAAAGGACACCAGCAATCCTAACATCGTGTACAGGCTTTCATTTTACACTCACTTGGCAGGACAGTAGTACCTCCCTGGGCAGTTGCTGTCTACCAACCTACTACCTAGAAAATATAAGCATATGGTACCACAAATATATGATCATATACAGAATATAAATGTATTAGTAAAAAACTTAACTGAAAACCGTTTCATAATTACAACAAGGTACACAGCATCCACCCAGACTTGTGTTACACAGACCATACTGATTGCAGGGATGAATTTTCCTTGCATAAAGTGAATTATCAGAAAGAATTAGGGGGTATTTCATTTATATAAATGAATTTGCGTACGAATAATGTACTTTAACATGTATTACTAATATTGCTAATAGGTGTTTAATGTCTGTACAGCTAACTTCAGGAGTTCTGGATCAACCAGGCATATGCTAAAGAACATATACACCCAGCAAGGAATAAAGGGCTTGTTCTCAGGATTGGTGCCACGCTTAGCAAAAGTGATGCCAGCATGTGCCATAATGATCTCTACGTATGAATATACAAAAAGGTTCTTTAGAAATCGTAATCAGTTAGATACTATTGAATAGTAAAGTGCTATCTTTGTCTTATGTAAAATATTATTGTCAGTATGTGTATTATAATTGTTATTGAAGATATGATTGAAACTATATGCTCAGTACTTTTAAGGTAAAAGAAATACTGGACTGTATATTGTAATGTGTATTTTTTATATAATTATGCATTGCTAATTTTATTTTTGTTGTGATTGTAAATTACATGAAATAATATGGTAACTGGGTGGTGCATTGAGGCATCTATGGATACAGAATGTTATCCATGGAGGAAAAAATGGGAGTATAGTGATACCAACACTTTTATGTGGGTGTGAAGCATGGGTTGTGAATGTTGCAGCCAGGAAGAGGCTGGAAACAGCGGAGATGTCGTGTCTGAGGGCAATTTGTGGTGTAAATATTATGAAAAAAATTCATAGTTTGGAGATTAGGAGGTGTGAAGTTACTAGAAGTATTATCCAGAGGGCTGAGGAGGGGTTGTTCAGATGGTTTGGAAATTTAGAGGGTGGTGCAAAATAGGATGACTTGGAGGGTATATAAATCTGTAGTGGAGGGAAGGCAACATAGGGGTCATCCTAGGAAAGGTTGGAGAGGGGGGGTTAAGGAGGCTTTGTGTGCAAGAAGATTGGACATCCAGAAAGTGTGGGTGAACATAAGGATGGTGAAGGTGTTTATTCTTTTTTTGGGTCACTCTGCCTCGGTAGGTGATGGCCAGTGTATTAAAAAAAAAATAGCCCAGAATGATCTTTCTGTTCCCTTTACACAAATGTTTATACTAGTTTTTATGAGAAGTCTTTCTAGCACAGTTATACTATGCAATATTATGATGTGTATGTTACTTCTGTCATTGTTGGAGGAGGCACATTTTCTTTTGAGAAAAGATGAGTGTAATATTCACATGTTGTGAAGAAAGGTCCTGTTATTGTAGTTAATCAGTTACATACATATATGCACAATCTCTGTTTTATATAGATACAGTGGCCAGTAACATTGTTTATATGTTTGCACAAATGTACAAGTATCATTCATACTTAATTGCTGCTTCCATTATTTCTGTACTCATTTTCCCAGTGACTAAATTGCTTTAAAGATAATTTACATGCTATTTTATTAATACAGTTTTTTTGTAATGTTAAAATTTTGCACTTTGAAGGAGCTTAAGTAAAACCCAGGCTATACTAAAATTTTAAAATTATAATGAGAATATTGTCATTTAGCATGATATTTGCACTGTTTTCCTAAGTTGATTTAATAATAGTTCTTGTTTTTATGATTCAACACTACCACATTTACAGCATTCACTTGGGTTATAAGCTAATAATCTTAATTATTTTGCTTGATTATGCCGTCTTCACTTGTGGTTTACTTTGAAACTTCTTTTGCTATATTGTCTGAAACTATTAAATAATCTTGAGTCTAATGTATCTTTTTCTTACCACAATTGACTTTCTCGTCTTGCTTGTAATTGCATTTCTGTTCTCCTGTGTGTGAAATCTGTTTAGCATAAATATTCAAATTCTGTAAACTTTTTCATAAATTCATGTAATTTCTGTACATTCCACAAATATTTTTAACTTAAACATTAATTGTTTATTCAATATTTTTGGGTAGTGTATATGTTTGCTTGGTATAGGTGTGGTAAGTTCCTATTGGCTTGGTACAGTTTGATAAAAAAAAATTATTTTTACCAGTGTTGACATGTTGATGGCAGGCAGTGGTGGTGGTGGTAGCTTATGCTGCTTGCTGCGTATTTGTATAGGTATTGTGAAGGGCCACATCAACACTCTTCATATTCACTTAAATAGGCAACAGCAGTTGGAATCTCGGGTAAGTTTTTTTTTTTAAAAGCTTATTTTCAAAAGATTTGTTTTGCTTTCTAGGATATCCAAGGAACTTAGCCCTATATTTTCCATATATTCTTCACTCCATATATTATTCATGCACAAGTGTTGATGCATGCTTGAATTTTTACATAAGATCCATCACTCTGACAATAGCGGCACTACCAACAGTCCCAGTGGATTGGTGAGGGTGGAAAAATGTGTTATGTGACTAAGACATCAATATAACTTATGACATCATGTTTGGCTTCAGGGCAAAGCTTTGGTTGTGATTTAAAAAGTTTTATTGAAGGGAAAGTGAGAGATAGTGGTTTAGGATGAGGCAATTTTCCATGGTATAGGGAAGTGTCACTTTTGTCTTATCTGACGTAGATCTGATTCATTTAGAGGTCGGTTCCAGTTCTAATACACCCGTGGATGCCTAACCACAGATGTACAGTATAGTGCATGGATATGAAGCACCAATATTAAAATCATTACATAATCAGAGTATCATCTAAGCAAGATCTACACTCAGGAGATACTTTCCCGTTTCCTGATGAATAAGCCAGGCACCACATCCACCTAAACTTTGGGGTCCAGTCCCTGGACCCATTATGTATCTCTGTAATCTTTTGACTACCACCCACAGGATGAGTATGGGATGCATAATAAAGATATTAAACTAACAACTACCTACTTTTATTAAGTCTGAATATATTTAACCTTTTATTTCTTGAAAATATGTTATCTTTTTAGTGAATTTTTTTTGTTTTTTTCAACAAGTCGGCCGTCTCTCACCGAGGCAGGGTGACCCAAAAAGAAAGAAAATCCCCAAAAAGAAAATACTTTCATCATCATTCAACACTTTCACCTCACTCATACATAATCAGTTTTTGCAGAGGTGCTCAGAATACAACAGTTTAGAAGTATTTACATATAAAGATACACAACATATCCCTCCAAACTGCCAATATCCTAAACCCCTCCTTTAAAGTGCAGGCATTGTACTTCCCATTTCCAGGACTCAAGTCTGGCTATATAAAATAACTGGTTTCCCTGAATCCCTTCACTAAATGTTACCCTGCTCACACTCCAACAGCTTGTCAGGTCCCAAATACCATTCGTCTCCATTCACTCCTATCTGACACGCTCATGCATGCATGCTGGAAGTCCAAGCCCCTCGCCCACAAAACCTCCTTTACCCCCTTCCTCCAACTTTTTGAGGATGACCCCTACCCCGCCTTCCTTCCCCTACAGATTTATGCGCTCTCCATGTCATTCTACTTTGATACATTCTCTCTAAATAAAGTTAATTAATTAGCATGATCCAAATTAGATAGGGGTGGACAATAGTTTTTCTTTATTTTGACATACTGTTGGAGTATGGGCCAGGTAATATTTATGAAGGAATTCAGGAAAACTGTAGTTGAATTTATAGTACTGAAAGTAGGAAATACAATACCTGTATTTCAAAGGATGAGTGTGGATGTTGCAGTTTGGAGGGTTATTTGAATTGTGATATCCATGAACTTTTAGAAAGAAAGCTAGAAAATATATGAATGTTAATTAGGTTTCCTCATGTTGGTCACTTTCCCTTGGGAAGAAATGATCAGTTATATATTTTTTTTATTAACACCAAGGCAGGGTGGCCCGAAAAAGAAAAACTTTCATCATCATTCACTCCATCACTGTCTTGCCAGAGAGGTGCTTTACACTACAGTTTAAAACTGCAATATTAATACCCCTCCTTCAGAGTGTAGACACTGTACTTCCCATCTCCAGGACTCAAGTCCCGCCTGCCGGTTTCCCTGAATCCCTTCATGAATGTTACTTTGCTCACACTCCAACAGCACGTTTCGGTCGTATATATACATCTTACGAGGTACCTTGTTTGATGTACAGTGGAACCTCAAATTTTGAACTAATCCGTTCCAGGAGCTAGTTCTAAATTCGAAAAGTCTGAAATTCGAAGCAATATTTCCCATAAGAAATAATGGAAATACACAATTAATCTGTTCCAGAAACCCAAAAATATTCACACAAAAAATACATTTTATAGAGATTAATTACAGTTTTACATACAACAAATGCTATAGTTTTTAATTATGTATAGTAATACATATAAAATAACATTTTTACTTACCTTTATTGAAGATTGGTGATGGCATCTGGAAGATAGGGAGGAGGAGAGAGGGAGTTGGGATTAGTGTTTGGAAGGAGAATCCTCCTCCATGAGGACTTCCTGTAAAGCCCTCTCTGGGGTTACTTCCCTTCTCTGTCTTTTAATGCCACTAGGACCAGCTTGAGAGTCACTGGACCCCTGTCTCACAAAACAACTATCCACAGTTCTCTGTTTCTGGTGCCTCTTTAACATTTCCCTAAAATGGGACATGGTTCTGTCACTGAACTTGTTGCAAAGATGGCTTGTTTCAGCTTGCTTAGGGTGGTACTTCTGCACAAACATTTGGACATCATTTCACTCTCATACTTCTGAATTATTTCCTTCTTCACATCTATGGTGTTTCTCACTTTCTTTACCACAGGGATACCACTAGCAAGTTTCTTTGGGCCCATGGCAGCTTATTTCACAGTCCCACAAGCACTAAACACAATGAAATAATCATAAAATGTGTGAATGAGAGCGCAGGTTAGTGTTCACTCAAGCATAAACAAAGCTAGACTGCTCACGGCACTTGCGCGGGGACGCGGACAGAGCGGGCCGGCGAACAGGTCCCGTACCCGCGGTCCGAAAATAGGGGCGGGTTCGATAATACGGACACAGTTTGTCCGAAAAAGGGTCTTATTTCGAAACGTTCGATATGTGATACGTTCGATTTTGAGGTTCCACTGTACTCATAAATTCTAGCGGCTTCAAATCAAGCAGGAGAAAGCTGGTAGGCCCACATGTGAGAGAATGGGTCTGTGTGGTCAGTGTGCACCATATAAAAAAAAATCCTGAAGCACGCAGTGCATAATAAGAAAAAAAAACTCTGACTTTTTTTAATTAAAATGCCAACTTTGTGGTCTATTTTGGTATAGTATTTATGGTTGTATTCTCGTTTTCTTGGTCTCATTTGATAGAATGGTAAACATACTATAGAAACACAGTGAACCCTCGCCTAACGATGGCATCGCATAACGTTAAATCCGCCTAGCGATACATTTTAACGCAAAAATTTTGCCTCGCCTAGCGCTAAAAAACTCCACATTAGTTACATCTGTCTTCTTTTACCTTACATTATATTCTTTCGAACAAAAGAAGCTTTATCTTGTGTTGGTTCACTGGTGTCTGTTACATACTGTTGGTTCACTGGTGTCTGTTACATAGTGTTGGATCACTGGTGTCTGTCACAGAATGTTGGTTCACTGGTGTCTGTTACATAGTGTTGGATCACTGGTGTCTGTCACAGAATGTTGGTTCACTGGTGTCTGTTACATAGTGTTGGATCACTGGTGTCTGTCACAGTGTTGGATCACTGTGTGTCTGTTGCATAGTGTTGGTTCACTGGTGTCTGTTACATAGTGTTGGTTCACTGGTGTCTGTTACATAGTGTTGGATCACTGGTGTCTGTTACATAGTGTTGGTTCACTGGTGTCTGTTACATAGTGTTGGTTCACTGGTGTCTGTTACATAGTGTTGGATCACTGGTGTCTGTTACATAGTGTTGGATCACTGGTGTCTGTCACAGAATGTTGGTTCACTGGTGTCTGTTACATAGTGTTGGATCACTGGTGTCTGTCACAGAATGTTGGTTCACTGGTGTCTGTTACATAGTGTTGGATCACTGGTGTCTGTCACAGAATGTTGGTTTACTGGTGTCTGTACATTAGTGTTGGATCACTTCTGTCTGTCACAGAGTGTTGGATCACTGGTGTCTGTCACAATGTTGGATCACTGGTGTCTGTTACATACTGTTGGTTCACTGGTGTCTGTTACATAGTGTTGGTTCACTGGTGTCTGTTACATAGTGTTGGATCACTGGTGTCTGTCACAGAATGTTGGATCACTGGTGTCTGTTACATACTGTTGGTTCACTGGTGTCTGTTACATACTGTTGGTTCACTGGTGTCTGTTACATACTGTTGGTTCACTGGTGTCTGTTACATAGTGTTGGATCACTGGTGTCTGTTACAGTGTTGGATCACTGGTGTCTGTCACAGTGTTGGATCACTGGTGTCTGTCACAGAGTGTTGGATCACTGGTGTCTGTCACAGAGTGTTGATTCACTGGTGTCTGTTACAGTGTTGGATCACTGGTGTCTGTTACAGTGTTGGATCACTGGTGTCTGTCACAGAGTGCTGGATCACTGGTGCCACAGTGTTGGATCACTGGTGTCTGTCACAGAGTGTTGGTTCACTGGTGTCTGTCACAGAGTGTTGGTTCACTGGTGTCTGTCACAGAGTGTTGGTTCACTGGTGTCTGTCACAGAGTGTTGGTTCACTGGTGTCTGTCACAGAGTGTTGGTTCACTGGTGTGTTGCTACTCCGTTGTTACATGAATGGTAAGAATACGGACAAGGTGATGAATCAGATACGTGTACAAGGACAATGTGACGACTACAACTATATAGGAGACAGTGGAAGACAAGGTAATCAGTCCCTCAGCCTGGATGACGAACCCGTGACCAGGGTTATGGCAACTGTGCTCGATAAGTTGCAGTCTACCGCAGATTTATTTGTGTTAAAGTGCTGGTAGGCCGCACGCTGATAAAGTGTGGTAGGACCGCAGCTGATAAAGTGCTTGTAGGCCGCACGCTGATAAGAAGCAACGTAATGAGAAGCAGATGTAAAATTAAAATGGAAATTCACTGATGTAAATCTGCTTCTGTAAACAGTATCATCATTTAATTTGATAAAAGATGTATTAAAATAGGAAGAGGGAAGAAAAGGTAATTGTAGGTACGTGGGTGGCCTGGCTGGCAAAGTTCTCGCTTCACAACACGGAGGGTCCGTGTTCGATTCCGGACCGCCCACCCACCCAACCTGCTTCCTCCCAATTGCCCCCACCTGCCCTCACCCACCCCCCATTTGCCCCCACCTGCCCCCCACCCCCACCCCCTTCCCCAAACCCCCACCTCCCACACTTCCCCCACCCCCCACCTCACCTCCCCCACCTTCCCCCACCCCCACCTCCCCTGACCATCCCCACCCCCACCTCCCCCACCTTCCCTCACCCCCACCTCACCCCACCCCCACCTCCCCCCACCCCCAAAATCCGCCTCCCCCAACCCCCACCCCCCACATCCCCACCCCCACCTCCACACCCCTCCCCCCACCTCCCCCACCCACCACCTCCCAACTCCCACCTAACCCCCATCTCTCCTGCCTCCCCCACTCCCACTCCTCCACCCCCACCTCTCCCCTACCTCCCACCTCCCCGACCTCCCACCTCCCCCTTCCCACCTCCAAACTCCCCCCACCCCCACCTCCCCCTACCCCACCTCCCCCACTCCCCTCCCCTCCCCCAACCTACCCAGACCCCCACCCCCACCTCCTATCATGTGGGAGTTCGACACGTGGATTAGGTAAAGAAATACTCACGTAGGCTGGTACGTATAATTACAGATAATGTGGAGTGCGCCCTTACAGCCGTACCTATCTCTCTGTTCTCTTAACACTGACTGACTGGCCGCCCACAGTACCCATTGTGAGAGGGTCTTTGAAAAATGCCAAGGTCACGCATATGGTT